GTCGATTACAATCAATTTTTGTGAATAGTCATACCCCCGAAATCCTATCCACTTCCGAGAAAAAAATTCACTAAATGGACAAATTTTTCGTCGAAATTAAAATATTTCGAATCGTTCTAAAAAAAATATGACCAATTGCAGGAGTCCATTACAATCATTTTTGGTGATTACACATATACCCGAAATCCTACGCACTTCCGAGAAAAAAATTCTTTACCGAAAATATACCGTGTGACCAGAAAGGTTTCTATAACTTTTTAACGAAGCCTCAATCGACAAATTACTATCCTTGATTTTCGTCTTATTTTGTGCCCTAGAATCTCCCATTAAATTTTTCCCCCGGTGGTCGGTCGGACACCCTATATATTAAAATCACCATATGTTTACATTCACGAGGTATTCGTAAAACAAATCGTCGCGGAAATAAATGCATTTGGTATAACGAGAACATGCCGAATGGACGAGTCGATTGTCACCGTTAGCTTGCAACAAATTGTCCCCGAAAACCGGTTGCTTTTGGTGGAGTAAAAAAAGTGGCCGTTTGGGGGGGACGATCGAGTAATTTGAATCTTGGCCTAATTTCGAACGGAGCAACACGTAACAAGACCATCTAAGAAAACAGCGAGGAGAAATCAATAAACCACCCCCCCTCCGGTCGTGCTGACAATCCAAAACCATAACGTCGTCCTTGGCGTGTATCGTCTATCATTGATCGCGAATGGATGCTCGGTTTTCCTTCTGGAGCGTGCGAGACGAGATATATCGCGGCGGTTTCCGTATTATCAGCAGCGGGCCATCGAGTTAGAAGAGACAGTAACGGCGCAATTAATCGGCAATCGCGTTCGATCGATCACGCATCCCCCGAAACCGTGACATCGATTACATCGCGGCCAGGACGAAAACGAAAAAGAGCGAATCGTTTTCCCATAGAGACGCAAAGAGCACGGGAAACGAAAGGACAGATCAAGGCGGGTGAGACAGCTATATATATATGTATATGTATATGCTATGGAGCAGCGCTAAACAAACACCCAACAGCCAAAACGATAAACATTCCAGTTTCGATGCGTCTACACATGTATATCGATTTATCGAGCATCGACCAATCTGAAGAAACGAACGTTTCACGATCTCGATTACCGATATTAAAACATATGTTATTCGATCGAGGGTCGACGCTATTTACTATATGGAAAATGTTTACGTCGTGGAAAATAGTTGTCAAGCGTAAAATTAAATTCAGTGAACATAGAATCCATGCTGGTGTCGGTTAGCCGTGAAATTACGTCGGAACAATTTTAAATAACGGATAATCGAGCTGATCCACGATGCACCGTGTGCAAACGATACGCGCTGTACAAGTAACGACAAGATGTACAAAGTATCCGAGAACATCTATTCGGCGGAACATCTAGAAAACACCAGATAAAGAGAAAGGAAAGAAAAGATAAATATATATGGTAAAGAAACAGTAAGAAGATAGAGAACAGAGAAAAAGAGAGAGAGAGAGAGAGAGAGAAAGAAAGAGAGAGAGAGACAGCCATCTCACCGCCCGCCACAGCTCAAAGCACTCACGAAATCTCACGTAAGGTAACCACGACAAAACGGGCCACCGTTGTCTTTACGTATGACAATATTTTATCTCTGCGCGGGGACAAAGTGTAGCTTTTCCGTGTTTTTATAACCTAAAAAAGCGATCGCACTGCTCCGTATGCGGACCGGTGAACGCCGTGGTGCCACCTGACAGACTCCGGGAAATTTGAGAAAACAGCATTTCCTTCGGCCCATGCGCGTCAACTTTAATCGAATTTTCGCGTTCCAGTGCCGAACACGCGAACCACCTTCGCCTCGTTACCGTGGCGCACGGCCCTGACCGTTTCAAGTTCGAATATTTTCCCTCCCGATCGACTCGCGCGCAATTCCCCGCACCACGATCACATTTTTTCCATCGAAACACGAAAATTCTCTATCGTTCGTTTTCGATGGATTTGGAACGATGCACCGATATTGCGAAAGGGTTCCCCTCGTTTTGAAAAACACACACGATTACGAAGCGTGCGACAAGCGGCGACGCTGCGACGCTGTGACGAAGCGGTGAATACGAAATTTATAACCATTGATGCGCCCGCGAGACACGTACCTCGCTTCTTTATTTCGATTCAAAGAAAAGCTTTGATAGCGTGCGAAAAAAGGTATGCTGAATTACCTCTTTTGTCGCGACGAGGGGATTTTCTTTCCTTTGTGCAAAAACAGGTTGAATAGATTAGCAGGACACCGAGCACTAAACGGTTGGGCGTTTAATGAGCCGTGACTGATTGCGCAACAACCACGACCCGCCATCTGCAGTCGCGTGACCGAACCAAAGCGATGCAATTCTGCACTTACCTACATCGTAGGTACATTATCCAATATGGTGATTGTAACGAATATCTTACGAGTGATCGAAACTAACCTAGCGAAGAAGCTCTATATTTATGATAATCTATACCAAGGGGATCGCAGCCATTTGCTAATATTATTTAATTATTAATTAATAATTGCATTACCCAACTAAGAGCGATACGATTATTAATTAAACGGTAAATAATATTACCCAGGTCTCACCACGTGTAGGTTGCTGCGACTGGAGACCCGAAGGGAGATAGATGGAATCAAAGTTCCATCGATCTCCCTTTTACATTCCTACAAGCTAGATTACTAAACCAGAGAGATAGAAGGTAGCAATGTTCCTTCGATCTTCTAGTTTAGTTGTGCCAAGTAATTGTTTCGTTTGAAAAGGGACGAAGGTAGATCGAGGGAGACGCGACGCGACGCGACACGACGCGATGTCGATCAGCAGTGATCGACGCAAGGGACGAGATACGCGACGCGAACCGAGTACCTGGTCAAAAGTGTCAGCTCCGTTGCCTCTTGGCAAGTCCGATCGAAGGGGAAGCGAATCGACGCACCCGGCACAGAGGTTCCCCATTTCTCCCACGCATCCCGTTGGGAGCCAACTGGACCCAACTCGAGATGTCTGATAGTGAGAGGGAGCGTGTGTCGGGGCTACCGCAGACAGGAACAGTCCCTGATCCCCTCTGCGGCCGAAGTACTCTTTCCTTTGGATCGTCTCGCCAGAGGACGGCAACTGGCCCTTCGGATCAGCTAAACGGCCGATCACTTGCTTTCTACATTAAAGCAGTGGTGATCGGAACGAGAAACGGGAGAACGGGTGCACGAGAGAAGCTAGTCGGTAAAGAATTACTTGGCACACACGCAGACGCATACATGGGAGTCGTCGATGCCTATATCTAGTTTGATTATACCAAGCAATTATTTTGTTTAAAAAGAGGGATGAAGCTAAATTATGGGAGACGCGACGCGACGCGACGCTGAACCGTACAGCGGACCTTTGGATCGAAGAAGCTAAGTTGATAATTGCTTGGTATCGCGGCCTTAAAAATAAATTTATCCCACGATGATGGAGGCCTGTAAGTAAGCTGAAACTAAAAATTTGCGATCAGTTAAACAATTAAATATAATGAATTGATAACACACAAAGCACTGAAATAAAATAAATGAGCCCAGAGAAACCAAGAATAAAATATGGGGACAAACAAGGAGCCAGAAGTAAAATATGTAAGGAATCCAGAGAAATGAAAACAAGGTGAAACCCCATAGATAGATTCAACCCCGGCAGATACTTGAATGTCGAAAAAGTAGTGAGAAATTGGAGATTGAGATATCACTCACCACTGTGTCGATAGTGGTCAGTGAATACAGATTTGTACATGCAATGTAGAATGTGCATCGAACAAACCAAACAAGGAACAAGAAGTAAAAGCAAGATGCAACCCCACATTCAAGCCCAACAGACGCTCGAAGGTCGAAAAAAGAAATTAGAAAGGAGAGATTCGGAACTCGCTACTGGTCACTAATGGTCAGTATTGATCACCAAAGTTGACCAATGCTCGCCCAGTGGTCAGCACTGGTCAGTAGCGGTGAGTAAAGATGGAGCGCGGAACCACGGGGTTCCGTCACGTCCGCCAACGCGGAGGAGAATGAGTGAGAGAGAGCTCGTCACCGGCAGTAGCCTCGGGCAGAAGAGTCGAAGGGGTGGGGAGGACCGTCCTTGGCGAGTTCACCAACCAATTAACGGTTAACCGTCTTCGACCGAAAAATAAACATTCTACGCAAAATGGCATTAAAAACAATTATTTATACAACCCACACTATCGAGCGTTATTTTAACTATTGCCTGATGTTAATTAATAATTGTTGCAAACAATAGGAATGAAAATATGGTAAAATTCGAGGTGACCGAAGGATTCTTCGAGTTTCTAACGAGAACCAAGGTCAGACATGTAAATCACATGTTCGTTCCTTCGACCAAACAATGAATATTCCACGCGAATATACAACACATGCTATAGAACATTATTTTAACTATTACCTGATGTTAATTAATAATTGTTGCAAACAATAGGTATGGAAATATGGAGAAATTCGAGGAGACTGAAAGTTTGTTTGAATTTCTTGTCGAGAACCAAGGTCGTACATCGCGTATTCGTTTCTTCGATCTTCTGTCCTCTATACGATACTTTTTTTTTGTATAAGTTTCCATCTTTCGGTTCTTATCAGTAAATTATACAGGATTCTAACAAAGGTACGTAAACTGTGTCACTAAAATCGCGAAACAATATGTTGCAACAGCCAACAAAACACACATGAATGCACACGAAGAGTAGTTCGTTCCGTACAGCGGTAGATGACGTGCCAAATATAATAGATCGAAAAATTGTTAGTTTCATTGAACTTTTTCATGTAATTGCTATGTAAGAACGTATTCAAACGGTAGAATAAAGATACTTAAATTAACAACATATCCTAAAAGAAAATTTGTCACGATATGTCGTATGCTCCTCACATCGAGGACAAGTTCGTGATATGTTTCTAGAAATTTGGATAACGTCAGAATTGCAAATGTGATTAGTCCAAGATCATTAGCTTCTATGGTCACGTTGTATTGTTTTGATTTAACTCGAATTTAACACTTAGTTGTTTTAGATTTATTTTCCAATTATATATACTTAATAGGTTATGCGAACGTGAAAGTGATTTCTAAATATCAAACATGTAAATTCGTGCGTTTTGTAAATTTTTTATCACGTTTGAAACGAATGAATCGGACCAAGGAAACTATGCCTTTCCATACATGAGTAATCAAACGATTATCGAATTTCCGTGTGCGTCAAGGACCAGTTCGATCGATTAAATGTTTTCCATAATGAACGTTGTGCGAATTAATTCGAGAAATGTAATTTTTATTCTACTGGCAATTTTGTCGACTACCGTGAGACAGGCTTCCATGGGTTACGGTAAATCATAGTTAACGTAAATTTAAGACTAATTGTTCCTTACTACTAAACGTTTGCTGTATAACTTGTTTGCAGATAGTATGATTAATTATGCATTGAAGGAAGCTAATGCAAATTCTACACCGGCATACAGTAGCAAAAAGGTGGCAAAAGAATTAGAATATTCTTTTAATAAGAAAAAATTGAATGATTTTATTGTTCGTAGGAGGAAACGACAAGGTTATGCCCGAGCGGTATCGCTTGTTCCGAGTTAAGCGCAGAATGTTTGAAGTGTAATTTAAATTCAAGTTGTATATATGGAACAGCATACATTGCCAACTGCTCCGTTTTAGAACACATCGATTGTGTCGTAAGTATTAGAATATTACACGATCTCTAAATGCCAGACAATAATCGACACATTGAAATTCAAGGGCGAGCAAACCTTCCAAAAAAAATATGTGTGCCGTTATTGTTATCAAACAGAACATTGGGAGCACGAATGTCACCAAAGGAATTCTTGCAGCTCGGTGGCATCACCTCAACAATATTATAGAACAAATTGTACGGTGAATAACGACATACTATGTCTGGGGAGACGGCAGTTTATGAAAAACTTACTGTGCAATTGGACCGTAGGATATCGTTGGTCCACCGCCTTAATTTTAAGCATTACTCTGGGAGGTTTCGGAGCTGACCGGTATATACATTTAACATAAAAAATCATTAACCGTACGGTGAGAATATTTTACTTTTACTGAAACAAATTGCAGATTCTATCTGGGTCATTGGCAAGAGGGGATCGGAAAACTGTTCAGTTTCGGAGGACTCGGTGTTTGGACACTGATCGACGTAATACTTATTTCTATGAGATATTTAGGTCCGGCGGATGGTTCATTGTACATTTAATTAGCATATAAAAATACGAGCATTTTATTTATTATCTATAAAAGAACTGAACTAATGTGATTTGTATATAAATGTGTTGAATGGTTCTCTATAAGTGTATCATTGTTAGGCTTATGCATTAACCTGAGATGTACAATCTCCTATAAATAAATAGGATTACTAATGCATTGTTGTTTAACCTAACAATTACACCTCACGTCCAATCTGATTTTGTATCGCAATATTATTATTCGCGTTATTTTATATTTCTGTCCTATTTGTAATCGGTAGAGCGTTACAGGTGGGGGGAATTCCCCTTACGTTGGCTGCACTGCCCCTCGATCAGTGCACTCCAATTTCTGACGTCACTGCATGTAAGCATACATGGCTGTTCACGAAGTCCGTAACCTGTCAATCGCATTAAAAGTTATTATTTAACAACTATGTGGTGAATAGAAGGAAAACGAATTTGTACAATATTCAGAACTTAACCTTTCCTTTACGTAACTACCACGTACTTTGTCGCACACACACACATACACGAAAATGCATTGGTCAAGCGTTGTTTTCCCGTGATACATAACCTCAAAGTAAAAACATTGAGACCACAGAGGAGGCAAAAGTTTGTTGCTTGACAGAATGGCAGACGTACGCGATATATTAGATATCGAAGTGCCGACTACCAGCGAGCTCACGAAGGAATCGATTATAGGCAGCGATAAAAAGAATCGAAAAAAATATGAGTACAAAGTACCGAAGAGGCCAGAAGGCATGCACCGTGAAGTGTTTGCATTGTTGTGCAAGGACAACAACGATGTACCACCGTTGTTCCCGACGGATACGGCTAAAGGGTACAAGCAGGTACGAGCCAAGCTTGGTATGAAAAAGGTTAGGCCGTGGAAATGGGCATCGTTCACTAATCCTGCTAGAACGGACGGCGCGTTCTTTCATCATTGGAGACGAGTCGCAGACGCAGGGAAGGAATATCCATTCGCCAAATTCAATAAAAAGGTTCCCATTCCTACGTATACAAACGCCGAATACGTTCAGCATTTGGTTACGAACGGCTGGACCAGAGCAGAGACCGATCATCTCTTCGATCTGTGTAGGAGATTCGATCTGAGGTTTATTATTATCAAGGATAGATGGGATAGAACAAAGTTCCCTGCAAGGACCGTGGAGGATTTAAAAGAAAGGCAAGTATACATTGTTTGTACGTTCGCTAATCCCCGTTACTTATAAAAATAACTACGAATGTTTAGGTATTACCAAGTGTGCGCCGCTTTAACAAAGGCAAAGTCTCACTCTGATAAGGTTTATATATTTGATGCAGAACACGAAAAACGTAGGAAAGAGCAATTAAAGAAGTTGTTCGAAAGAACGCCGGAGCAAGTAGAGGAAGAACAAATGCTACTGACAGAGTTAAGAAAAATTGAACAGAGGAAGAAGGAGAGAGACAGGAAGACGCAAGACTTGCAAAAATTGATAACAGCGGCCGATCATCAAGCAGACCCAAGAAAGAACGAAAGAAAACCGACGAAGAAGAGTGGAGCTGCTGCTAGAAATAGACCGAATAAAACGGATACTTCTCATGTAAGGAATTTCTATATAATAATAGTATAATCTTTGCGTAGTTAATGTTCATATTGATACGACGATACGAATGAAAATTTTAGACAGTGGAGTCAGCCGGAATTAAGTTTCCAGATTTTAAAAATAGCGGCGTTTCTCTACGTTCTCAGAGAATAAAGTTGCCGAGTAGTTTAGGTCAAAAGAAAATGAAGGGTATCGAGCAAATGCTCAATGAACTTCGTCTAGGTACGTGCAACTTCGATGCCCTATATTGCTCTATGTTGTTTCTTTTCAATTCGATATTAACGCGTTTTTATCTCTCTAGAATTGAACCCACCACCCACCGAGCAGATATGCCAGCAATTCAACGAACTAAGAAGCGATATCGTTTTACACTACGAACTGAGAAGCGCACTGTCGACGTGCGACTACGAGTTGCAATCGCTGAGGCATCAATACGAAGCTTTGGCTCCTGGAAAGGTAACTAAAAATCTGTTTGTTTGCGAAATATCGTTACCAATATTGAATTTTCAGACGTTAACGATACCGGCCGCGCTGTTGCCGAAAACCGAACCCGAGGTCAAAGCTGATATAATAGACGTGGTGGGTTCACCGAGCATGCCGACCATAACTCACTGATCAACGGAACAAATATAGTTCCGTACCGGTTGTAAATAATTTCCAGAACGTTGGCACGACGCTTCGCTCGCCTGTACAATTATTTTTTTTTTTTTACCTTGTACGGGACAATAAAAATAATTTAACGGATACAGTATCGTGTCACTATCTTACCAATCCTTTGAAAATGATTCGAACACGGTGGTGATTTACTTATATATCTGTGTATTTTATATTGTCGACAAAAAGTAACAATGTACGGTCAAACCGTATAATTTATCTACAACAATCTACAATAGATTACAATATGTTGTCTTGTTTTTTGTTGAGGGTCAGAGGGAGGCAGGGATATTAGAATAACGGTGGATCGGGTTAAGAGCGTGGAGGGAAAGATGGTCGATGCAGGCCTTTCTTCGTTCGTGCTCCGTTAATCGCGATACAGTTGACTGTTAATTCTATGTTAAATTACTCGGGTAGCCTCTAAGCCGTACTTGGTACGGAAATAATGCGTATATATATCTGCTTCTTAATGATCGATAACCCAACGCCCGACTTTTTCCCCATCTACGCCGTGCCGCGAGGACTCTCTCGATCCAAAGATTTAAGTGTAAGAAAAGAAAGAAAAACTGGGCACATCGTTGACCCGCATAACCGATGCATTTGTTCGCGGATCGTGCATCCTCTCGTCTCTCCGCACGTGCTGACACGACAGCTTTTATTTTCAGGACAATATAATACATTGTCACCCTTTACAATTTGAGAAACACTCCAGGGGGCGGGGGGGTAATAATTTAATGAATTATTATTTTAGGAACGTGACCCAATAACCAGCAACGACGCGTAACGTCTTCACACGCACACATCCGCACCCGGAAATTATTTTCGAGTTTAACATAATCGCGCGGGGGGGAGGGGATAAGGGAAATTTGAGGAGCTTCAAAAGTGACTTTAAAGGGACTTTTCAAAGGACTACGAGGGACGCATATTTTCAGAGCCATTTTCATCGTATAATACGAAAACTTTTTCGAGATCTCGATATAAAAGCTGACACAGTTTTCTCCCCCTCAAGTCGAATAGAATTTGGATCGAAACGACAGGAGGAGGACCTAATACGCGACAACAACGAGGCCAGGGGGTGTTGGGCGGGTAATCGGGGTGGATGATAAACGATCGGTCGCATCAGCACATCGCGATGTTTCCAGCCGAGTATCCTTCGACGACTCGTTGATCTTCGACGAGGGACGCACGATCGACTGGCACAGCAAATTTGGGGTTTGGCGGGGTGGAAAGAGGGAAACAAAAATCGAGCCACGTGTCTATATGTACATATACGCCACGCATGCATACATATACACACACACACACACACACACACACACACACACACCGGTGGTAACAATGATAATAATAATAACGACAATAATTAACACGGACAACGTTCAATGTACAAGAGTAAAGCGCGTAATCCGCCCGGAAGCGACACGACCCGTGGCATCGTTCATCACGCGTCCACGATCATTAATTTTCAAATTGCGTACAATAACAACAAGTCACGTTTTAAAATTCCGTCCTGATAATATTCGAACGCTCTCGGTGCAAATTTAAAATACAAACTTTCTCGATAATAAAAAAAAAAAAAAACATTCGGCGGAACGTTCTATGAGTCGTAGAGACTTTCATCGGGTGTTGAAATCAACCATCGTCCTCCGTTCGTTGTTTTGTTTAAATCATTTCACAGCAACGACGAACATATCGATTCGACGACGTTCGAGCGATCCTGCAACTGACCGGAGAAGAGGAATTTCTCTCGTTATTTTTTTTTTTCATTTTTCTGCGGGGTGAGGGGGAGGAGGGGGTGGAGGATTCGTTTAAAGTTACTTTTGCTGCGTTTTTTCTTCGTATAACATGTAACATGAGAAATCGTATCTTATTCGTTAAAGACATTCCCTACACAACACGGCTACGGTAATGCGTCATGGATATGTGCGCAAGTGCGTGTGAAGAAATGTAGGGAGAGAAGGGGGAGTACGTAGGCAGCTGGAGTGGGGGGGTACGGAGGGAGAAAAGGGGAAATGCACGGTGGAGGAGGAGGAGTGGAGGGTGAATTCGGGGCTGTCGAAGTGTGTCCGCACGTACGCGCGCGTACGCACGTGCGCACATAGGCACACGTTATTTTTTTATCATTTTTTTTTTTGTGGGTTTAAAGTTTATATGTATAGATTTTCTGTATATAATCGGTAATCATTGATCTTTTTCTTTTCTGTTGTTTGTTGGTTTGCTTCAAGTTAACTAGCTTCCTCGATTATTTATATATATACACATAAGTATATGTACAGTACATATATATGTGAATATATATATACTCCGCTATTACGTAATAGTAACATGTACGCTCGACAAGTGCGCTGACTCTCTTTTCTCTCTCTCTCTCTCATGCACACACGCTCAACCGTATATCTCTCTCTCTCTCTCCCTCACACACGCTTCAGCTTTGCCTATAGTTAATGTTCTACCTGTATTGTATATAACTACAACGCTATGGTAGACAACAACAAGTAATATTATCCTAAACTTGTTTCACCTGCTTTTTCTCTACGTCGTATTTCGTATATGCCGTAAAAATGTTGTATATAATGATATTAATATTGTAATATATTTTGTTTTATTGCACGCGGTTGTCCGCCGCGACCGCCGCGGTGAGTCGAACGAACTATCTCGTTTACGAGCAAAATAAAAACAAAAATAGAAGAAAATCTTTCACGATCGGCGGCCATCTTTGTCGGAACCCCCCCCCCCCAGTCGCTCGTTCGACACCGGGGCCCCGTCGCGGCAACGTTTTTCTTTTAACATCAGCTTGTTACGTTTTCAATTTTTTCGTTTTTTTTCCATTTTTGTATTCTTTTTGTCGTCGCGAGACTCCATCCGCTACGCTCGTTCTTTTTTTTCTCTCCCGCCCCTCCCCCCCCCAATTCTCGCGCTCGATCCTGACGATTCGTATTTCTTTTTTTTTTTTTTGTCCACTAGGTATAAGCCCAAAAAATCATCCTGCGTGAAGTGTGAATAACACGTGGTCGTTGGTGCAGCATTTTTTGTTCATTTTCGCCCCCCCCCCACCCCCCACCCACCCCCCCTCCCGGCCGAGGATCGTGGGCTCTAACCGGCGCGCGCCCGTACGAAATTGTATCTCCGTTCTTTTTTTTTTTTTGTCGTCCGCCCTTCGTTTCGTGGGTTTTTACTTTTTTTTTTCTTTTTTTCTTTTTCGTTTCTTTTTTTACTTGTGTCTATTCGTGATATACTTTTTGAGACAAAACGAAAAGCGTGGTCGTCCATCGAGAAGATCGATTTGCCGTTTAAACGTATCCGACGGTGTATCACAAATATCGTCAAATCGAACGCTTGCCGGGACCTCTCGTTGTTTTCCCGAGGAAATTGCACGCGCACGCTGCAATCCGTAGTAAAATTCAATAATATTTATAATTTCTTTATGTATATATGTATATGTACGTGCTATGCGGGATTCCTCGTCTAAATCGCATGTACCCTAAATATCCGCGAGAAACAGAATTCGGTCCTTGCGTGTCCATATTCAACCCTCTCGACATCACCTCTTCACTTCAAAGCAATTATTGCTAGTAAAAATCGTTCCCTTTTTTTTTCTTTTTAACATTGCACGCTTCGATCTCGAGGGGTACAAGCTCCGAAACAATTTTTTTCCCCAACCAAGCTACGAGGTAACGTCTGCGTGTTTTTGAGCTCTTCGCGATCACGTCGAAAAATTCCAAAAACTTTTTTTCTTTTTCTTTTAGAATAAAAACTCGTCTCCAAGCTCCAAGCGCAGAGGGGGGAGGAGGAGGAGGAGTGTGTGTGTGTGTGGGGGGGGGGCGGGGGTTTGTGCGTAACGGTTACTTTGTCGATCGCCAACAGGGGGGAGGGGGGGTAAAAAACAAACGTAAAACGCGTTTTGATGCGTTCGAAAAACACCGCGAGGAGGAGGGGGGGGGGGGGGGGTCGAGAGGGTTGCGTACAACGACAACGACGTGTATTCGATACGCACGAGCGAAAGAAAGCGTTTACCGTAATAAAATCATCCTATCCTTCTCTCACCACCGAACGTATACAACGTTAGAACCTTTACATATTTATATGCGCATTGTATGTATATAAGTATGTATATGTATAATATATGTATAATGGTTGTATTATTTATAAGATTCATCGTTTCTCCGTTCCCGATCAGGGTTCACCGGTAACCACACATTTTTTTTATTTCCTCTGCCTGGTAAGATCCGGATCTAATACGGTCGTATCCGATACTCGGATTCCCAACTACTTGCGGCGATGGACGGGGGTAAAACCCTATGTAACGCGACGAATTCAACAACGACAATCATAAAATATACATATGTGTGTGTGTACAGTGTCCGTATATATACGTGAAAAAAGAAGAACAAACGAGATCGCACGTATATATATGTAATATATATATATATATATGTGTGTGTATAAAGTGTAAGTGTCTTGTGTGTCCGTGTAACTAATCACAAGAGACATGGCGTACGCCGAAGATCGATAATTGCCTGGCCCACTGTGTGTCTTTCACGCGTCCCTATTCGTGCATCGATCTCGCGACCCCCGAAAAACAGTACGTATATATTATATACTCGTTTAATACGATATTTTAATATAATAATCTTTAATCATATAGAAACTCTGTAACGATCTTCTGTATCTCGTCGCAATATTTTCTCTTATTTTTTCAACTTCCCGTTAATCGTCGTCGGCCAAAAACCTAAATACCTTACGACCTTAAGTATCACTAATAATACCGCTAAGTGATCGATTTACTTCTTATTAATCGTCAACGTCTCTTTCTCTTTGATATGTGCGTTCGCGTCTTGTCGTTTGCCAAGAGAATGTACGGTTACTATATTTTTTTTTTTCTTTTCCTATTTATTTTCGTTTAAGCTTTTAAGCGGAATTTCTCCTCTCTCCTCCGTTTTCGTCTGTCCCAACGATTACGCGCGTACACGCACGCGACACGTCGATCGTCGCTGGATCGATCCGCTCTTATCTCACTCCGATCACAATATAAAACCCTACAGTGTTACATCTACGGATCAAATAATTCCAATGTTGCGAATA